GGCATCATCCGGTGTGTGTGTGCGCGTGTTTGTGAACTTGCATCAAAGATGTGTGTGCTTCTGCACCACGACTGCAGCCCCGGTGTCGTTGTGGCACTTGCAGCATTCACTTACGCAGCCAACTTTGCCGTTGCTGTGTTGTGTTTTGATCAGGGTACAAGACATTCGCTCCATCGAGCGCAACAAAGTTGCCGTGTACACATCCTTCCGCCCTGGCGATATCGTTTTGGCACGCGTGGTACGAGTTGCTGTTGCTGTCTCTCGGTTGCCTGCGTGTGTATTGCGAGTTGCAAGAGCAAGATGTACACGAGTTTGCGAGAGCGTGTCCAAAATGAGCAGGAGGGGTGTGTAACCATATGAAATGGTTACCTTCACAGCAGCCACCCACCCCACTCATCGTCACGGGTATGTTGGCGCTGTGCTGGGCAGATCTCGCTCGGTGATGCGCGCAGCTACTACCTCTCCACTGCGGAGAAGGGCTTTGGTGTCGTGTCGGCAAGAAGTGAAGCTGGTGGGTTGCACTTCTGCGCGCGTGCATGTGTGTGTGTGTGTTGTGTGTGTGTTGACGTATGCGCGTGCGCATGTGTGTGCACGTGTGAACGTTCGTGTGTGCATCCATTTATGGACACGTTTGTGTGTGTGTGTGTGTGTGTGTGTGTGTGTGTGTGTGTGTGTGTGTGTGTGTGTGTGTGTGTGTGTGTATTTCGTTTCCCCATTTCATGCCAACCCATCGTGTGAATTGCAGGTGTGTTGATGAAACCTGTTGCGTTGATGGAGATGGAGTGCCCAAAGACAAGGGCGAGGGTAAGTCTAATCGCTGCTGTGCGCCAATGCGTGCTGGGTGCTGTGTGTGCATGTGTTGATGCTCGTGTCAGTTTGTGTCTGGCATGCTTCGTATGTGCGTGTTGTGCACGTGTGCGCGTGCGCAGCCCCTCTTGTGTGCATTTCTGGAGGTCAGGTGACATGTGTGACGACCACGCTGGGGCACAGAAAGCAGCGAAAATCGCGCTAATTGCGGAAGACGACACGGCGGAAGAAGAGAGCGATCGAGCCATGGATACCAGCACCACCACGTCGTAAACAGTCGGTGCGGGTGGCAATGCACGTGCTCGTGTTGAACAGTAAAGCAAACCAAGCCACAGTTTATGCTCTGATGCCCCCGAAACGGTATGAAATGCAACCGCACAGACACCCTCCCCCCCCCCTCTCCTCGTGCAATTGTTTGTCCCCGAAACAACAAAGCACACCCCGAAACTAGAATGGGCCAAAAAAAAAGCCACCAGCACCACCATTAACAGCAGCAGCAGCAGGGGGGGGGCACCAACCCTCAAAAAAAATTAATGAAGAATGAAAGCTACAAAGGCGAAACAGCAGCGCTCAAAGAATGCATGCGACTGCAAGTGTGTGAGCGAGTGCGAGTGCGAGTCTGCATGTGCGCGAGAGGCAGAGACAGACGTGCGTGCGAATGCGCGAGTGCGTGCGCGTGCGTACGCGTGCTAGAGTTTGTCGGCAGCGGCAGCGGCGATCTGCTTGATGTCGCGGAACGCGCGGGGTTTGTGGTGCTGCGAATACTTGAGTCCAAGCAGATCAGCAACCTGATCGCGTTGGCCCAAGTGGAAGTTGGCAAGGGGGGGGGGGCAACAACAGGAGTGTGCATTGTGTTGGCATGTGGGCATGTGAGCAAGGGTTAATTGATTTCAGGCAATAATGCCACGAAACAACAGAACACGGGCAAACACACACACACACACACACACACACACACACACACACACCCACACACACACACACACACACACACGCACACACACACACGCACGTGCACACCCCAGCAGACGAACATCATCACGGCCACGATGGGGCACCACCACCGCCACCGCCACCACCACCAACGACGACAACAACAGTCGCAAAAGCAGCAGCATCAGCGCACCTCGTCAAGCGCCTCGCAGCGCCTGGGTCGAGCTGCTCGCGCGTGTGCGACGCAAAAATACAGAAAGCGGACGCGGGACTCGACAATCGGGGGTGGGCGGGTAGCCGACGACGACAACAGAATGCGCGCTTCTTC